GGTTTACAAATTCTTTACTTTTTATTTTTTTTTTTGTCTTCTATTTTTTCTATTAACAGTACCCTTTATCATTAAAATTTTTATTGTTTTTTTTTTTATTACCATTGGTTAATTTTTTTATTTGCATTATATTTATAAGTTTATTTTTTGTTTAAACATCTTTTAACAGATATATTTATAAAAAATGTTTTTATAAAATTTATAATATTGTTGTATAATTTGGTTTATTTTAAATGAAAATTTCCTATGTAATGTTTTAAAAATTATTCTTTGTGTGTGTGCAATTTAGAGTAGTAAAGAAAAAAAAGATCACAACCTTCAAGATTCTTTCAAGATTTTTTTTTCTGCGGTGCTAAGAAATTTCCAGATGAAAAACATTTTCTATGTTGCCATAATGGTAAGGTAACTTTGCCTCCACTTTCACTTTTTACACAAGTTTATTTACAGGGAGTTATGTAGATCGTAAAGCCCGTTCTCCATTCAGAACTTTTTGCGCTTTGGGGAAGCGGAAAAGTTATTTGAGCATGCGCAAAGAGTTTTTTTAAACCCGTTCTCCAATCAGATCTTTTTGCGCATGCTCAAAGAACTTTTCCGCTCCTCCAAAGCGCAAAAAGTTCTGAATGGAGAACGGGCTTAATGCTAATGCCAATTTTTTAAAACATTCGAAATTATAATGCCTGTCTTTCTTTTGCTTCTTTTAAAGCAGATGTGGATGTTTACGTAATTCAATGTTTCAATTACAAACTATAATTACTGAACAAAGTCCATTCGCTTATGCATTTAAAAACATGGCTGAAGTAGATGAAAAAGTTCGTCAAGCAGCTATAGAAGGTCGCTCAGTCTCAGTTGTAAAAATGTCTTTACTTGAAGGGGGTGATAGATGTTGCTATAATCTACCTTCACATGATGAAGTTGTTGTTGTATTTGTTGGTGAAGATGGCGCTCCCCCAACTTCCAGGGAAATTGTTATTTACCCAAGAGGTCATCCTTTAAAAATTGTATCAAGTATGTTAGACAACTTTATGAGGGAAATGGGTAAAAAAATTATAATTATAAATATATTTATGTTAACGTTATTTATATGCAAATATTCTATCAATTATTATGAGGTATGTTTTTTTGTCTTTAGTGTCTGGAAGAAGCATAACTGGTAGGGCTGTGTTTTGTATTTTATATATTTTGTATAGAGAAATATGTGCAATATGTGAAAGAATTAATTCATTGATATGATATTTTTTAACTGTTCCTATTTTACTTATATTTTTATTAAAATAAATTTTTTCACATTTAACCTTTTTTAAGTAACCCTTTTTTTTTTTATGTTTAAGCATCGTCTGCTGTTATCAATTAAACTGGTGAGGTTATGGATTATATTTATATTAAATAAAATCGCAAGTTTTTATAATTTTTAATAAATATGTCATTTTTAACTGTGCCTGTTTTACTTACATTTTTATTAAAATAAAATTTTTTACATGTTTAATTTTTTTTTAATTTACTCTCTTTTTTTTTTTAATGTTTGAAGCTTCGTCCTCTGTTACCATTGAAAATGGTGAGGTTATGCTTGATATTTTGATTAAATAAAATTCCAAATATTTGTTTTTATTATATTCTTCTATTTGTTATTTTAGATCAATTGACATTCGAAAGATACGAGATATATCGCTCCCAACACCCGGGGCTTCTCTCAGAGAGGTCCTTCAATAAGTGGTGTTCTAATGGCGGTATGGATGAGTTCAAATGGAGGGCCATCCATACCGGGGTGTTGGGAGACACCGAATATCAAACAAAAGAGTTATAAATAACTTCTATCAGTTATGATATTTATAACTTTTTTGTTGCTGCCTTTTCTTCGGTTATTATTATTTTTTTATATTGTAATTTTATTTTTAATTGTAATTTTTTTGTTTAAGTTTGTAATTTTTTTTTTTGTTTTTAATTTTTTTTGATAATATATTCTGTTGTATATTTGATTTGTTTTCATCTTTTTTAATTAAAATGAAAACTAAATTAAACTCAAAATTCAGTTAAATTGATTCATTATCCAATTATCATAGTATATTAATATTACATTCAATTGTTAAAAATAATGTATTGCAATTGCTGCTTTTAAAATTTACTATAAGCCAAGACAATATATTTAGCTATATAAATGCAATTAAATCTCAATTTGATTTTTTATCTTAAATGTTTATAGTTTAGCCCCTTAAAGCTTTTTATTTTGCTCTTAATTTAAATGTTTTAAATATATTGTGATTCTTCTAAATTAAACTAAAGCTTACTGAAAGCCGACATTAAATAATGTCATTAAACAACACCGACAAGAACTGCTGCATCATGACAGCAACTGAAGTATGATAACAGGTTACCAAATGCAGGTAAATTGTTTCCCAGTTATTTTTTCTTTCTTTTTTATGTCGACTTTTTTTTATTCTTTTTTTATGCCTACTTATCTGTTACAATTTTTATTTTAGGTTTGTCGAATGATGCAATATAAAAGATCAAAGTTAACATTTTTTTAAAAATTTGTTAAACACATTTTTGATTGTAAATTATTTAATTTTTTTTTAAACCTTTTTGAACTCAATTGCTTAGTTATTTATAATAAACTTAGTTATTTTTAATAAATTTATTTAAGTGCATTTAACGTTGTTAAGATAACAAATTTTCTTTCTAAAGAAAAATTTAACCTGAGAGGGGATACCAAAAGTTAATAACTCCTGTATAATATAATATAAGTTAATTTCATGATAAACTAAATAAATAATTAAGGTTTATGTTATAAAAAAAATATTACAAGTTGATATTTAAAAAGAATGGCGAAGTGTTATTATTTTGTGTTGAACTTAGAAATGTCGATAAAAATGGTTCTGTCTTACACTGATATGAATTATGTCAGTTGTAAATTACTCCAATGTGTCAAATAGTAATTAGTAAATTATTTTACCTCCTCATACTTTTAATGTTAATTTTGCAGATGGATTAACTTTTTCAAGCTGAAGGTGTTTTTCTAAAAGGGTATTAGTTAAGGTTTTGCAACATTAAATTGTGGAAAACAGCCACTATAAATTAATTATGTAACAGACCGACCAATACCCGTATTACGGGTTGCTTTTGCTAGTAGTTATTAATATTGATACTATCAAATATGAGAATGATTGTAATAGATTTAAAGGGCGCAACTTTATTGGGAAAATTACCGGTACCCTAATATTTTGGAGAAAAAAAGTTTTTCAAAAGTAGGTCAACCTGGTACTCAAAAGAAGAGAAATTTTATAAAAAATTCGAAAATAATAATCATTTTATAAAAATCATATTGCAGAAAAAAATTGTTATTAAAAAACATGTAAAAATGCACCATTTTCACTTTTAGTTAAAAAACTATAGTTATTATGCAATAAAATCTAAAATAATAACTTTTATATGAAAAAATTATTATTTTTGAAATTTTTATAAAATTTCGCTTTATTTGAGAACCTATACCATATAATTTGAAAAACTTTTTTTTTGAATAATAATAGAGCCTGCTAATTTTTGTAATTATAGTTGCGGGTGGAAGACATTGTTTAATCCATAAAAGTAAATACTTTCCTAAATTAGTACATAAAAAAAACAACTTTCTAGCAATGTTTAGAGCCTGTAACAAGAAAAAATTTTTTTTACGACCCACCCTAATATATATGCTAAATATAAATTTGAAAAACTGTCTGAAAAAGTTTATACTTCATTTTTTCCTTTTCCTCACGTGAAATAAAATAGCAAGCTAAAGATCAATAGTTCATTCATTTAAAAATTAAACTTGCGCGATAGTTTTTTTTTTTTTTTTTACAAGTTTGTGCGATAGTTACAAGTTAATTTTCACTTTTGTTCATTTATTATCAAAAGCAGTTTACTCTTACTTGCCAAAAACAAAAATTAGCCTTACGCTGAATGGATATTGAAAAACGCTTTAACTTTCAAAAAAGCAAATCTTTTATACATTCCATTGTTATAAAATTTTGTAAGGTGGTTTTAAATTTAAGTTTCGTAATGATTTTCATTTTTTTTAAAGTTATATCCAGACCGAACCGAAGGCAAATTATGTCATGTAGTTATGTAAAAAAGCATTATTTATATACTACTGCATTTAAAACTAAACTTTTTTAAATTTTTTTTATAAAAAATCAAAATTAAAAATAACTTTTGGGCGCCCATACTGATAAAACGGTACTAAAACACATCTAGGTTCTTCACTATATATATATATATATATATATATATATATATATATATATATATATATATATATATATATATATATATATATATATATATATATATATATATATATATAAAAGAAAAATATAGGTTTGTTATCAAAGAACTATATATTTTCTTTTTTATTAGTAAGTATAATCTATTCACTCTAATAAAATTTCCTAGATGAATAAATAATAATAATAATAATAATAATAATAATAATAATAATAATAATAATAATAATGATGATAATAATAATAATAATAATAATAATAATAATAATAATAATAATAATAATAATAAGAAGAAGAAGAAGAAGAAGAAGGAGAAATTAAGGAGAACAGTCAAATTTTAACTTTTTTTAAAAAGACTATTTAAGAACATTTAAGGAGGTTTTTATTTTTTAAGGATATTTAAGATTTTTAAGGAGAAGTGGGAACCCTGTAATATGTAGATAGTAGAGAAAGTTTAAGAAGCTTGAATTACAAATCTACAAATCACCATGGTAAAGATTTGTGACATGGCAACATAATTTTGGGATGAAATAGAACTTATAAAATAAGCACTCAAGACATTTACTCTTTACTAACATGTAAAGCTATTTACAGTTGAACTTTTTGTACCATTGATTTACCCATGTGACTTTTATTGTAAACAAATTAAAATTTAAAGAATTGCTTTTACCTTTGAAAATGTTTTTTTTTTTATTATTATTTAAGACTCATTCATTTTATATAATAGCCCTATATATAAAAATTTACCTCGTCATTGCTAACAACTACACTATCATGCAACCAATTTCCAACTTCAAATAAACATTCATGACGCACTTTTTCGCAACCAACTCTTTCCGATTCACATTTATTTATGTAGTCATCAATTAGTCCTCGAATTCTTTTTATTTGCAACACTGTAAATTTCTAATAAAACAATATATATATATATATATATATATATATATATATATATATATATATATATATATATATATATATATATATATATATATATATATATATATATATCAGTGGTGTCTTTAATAAGTTTTGTTTTCACTTGTAATAAAATTATATTTTTCATACTTGATGAATATACAATTTTTTTAACTCCAGCAGTTATGATATTATATAGTATTTGTAACTATTGATGCATTTATAAAGTAGCGTTAAAAATGTCTTGGTATATTTATTATAAAGTTTTCACTTGAAATAAAATTATATTTTTCATACTTGATGAATATACAATTACAGATTATTTTTATTAACAATTGTTTTTTTAACTCCAGCAGTTATGATATTATATAGTATTTGTAACTATTGATGCATTTATAATATAGCGTTAAAAACGTCTTGGTATATTTATTATAAAGTTTTATGTAATTAAACTTTAAATGAATGAGAATTGCAACTTTAAAAAAAAAAAAAAAACTTTTAAAAACATTTTTAGCATTTTAAACATCATTGTATTTTTATTCAGTACCTGCTCTTTTGAAGAGAGAAAAAAAAGTTTTTTGTAATTAAACTTTGAATGAACGATGATGGAAAGATGAAATAGCTTTCAATCAAAGTTTTTTTGAAGTTATTCTTTAAAATAAAAATGTATCATATTTAAATTATTTTTAATAATATAACAATGGAATGTTTACTATTATAGAGCTTATAACAAAACTTTATTTACATTTTCACATTTTCATATATTTAAAATGCCTTCAACTAAAAATTAAACAAAATTAAATGAAAAAAGTTTATTCAATTAAAAGTGTTTGATAAATAAATTTTAACACAAGAAATTTTTATAATTTAATTTTAAAAACATTTGCTAATTATCAGCAGTTATAACTTTAAAAAGATTTTTATAATTTAAACAGAATGACGTAAGTTAATAGAAAAGAAGGAAAATAAACTTCAACAATTTTAAAATGTTGCTTTAATGTTACATTAGATTAAAAAGAAATTATCGAAAGCTATTTTGTTGATAAAAATAATAGTCTTCTGAAAATAAAAGAACAAATTTACCTTTAGCAGTAAAAACATTGCTAAATGTAGAAATGCAAACTGCAGCAAAAAAATCAATTTAAATAATGAGTAATTTAAGTAATTTAAATAGCAGCCCAGCCGGGCAACTCAATTGCATCAAAACACTATTTCCAGTAGCCCTTTAAAAGATTTGGTGGCATTTGCCATCAGGCAACCACAAGTGTACACCACTGTACATACATATATATATTTTATGCGGTAGTGGTGTAGTGGTAGAGCGCTCGCTTCATAAACGAGTGGTTCCGAGTTTGATCCCCACCACGTCCCTGGTAGTACAGCGCTCAACTCGTTTCTCCGCGCAGCGGCCTTGCTCGTCAAGGTTCGTGTTTCGGAGTTATAGAGTTGTGAGAGGGTTATAACCACAAATAAGTAGCCTCCTCGTCTGTAGTGGCCTTCTCGGCCTTGAGGAGGTGAATTAAAATTAAAAATATATATATATATATATATATATATATATATATATATATATATATATATATATATATATATTTAATTTGTTTATTCAGAAATCAATGATGTTTATAACAATTTTAGTCAATGAAGAAGAAAATGTTTATAATAGATCGATGAAGAGGTGCAGCACCAGGCAACTCCATGCTGACAAATATCGGACACATGATATGTCTATACTTATACTGTTATATGTTATGCGTCGAATCGACCTTTGAATGCGTCAGTTGAAAAGGCGTTAACAACGTTTAATGGTAAAACATTTCATGTGTTGACTAGGCGGTTTGTGAAAATTTTTTCTCTTTCGACACAGTTCTTGACTATTGACTTAGTAAGAAATTGCCATGAAGATTATATTGGGAAAGGGTTTGCAAGTAGACTTGAGGCACAACAAACTCGATTTTCTCAACATCATGCGCAATCTTATATAGCTGAATTAAATCATTTCTAACTCGTCTATCTTCTAGAATTGTAAGTCTTTCTTCATATGATTTATGTTTGATGTTTGTGATCAGTTTCGTCGCACGCTTTTGAATGCTTTTGAGAGCCTTGATGTTTCCCTTCAGATGATTTGTAAAGGACTTTCTAAAAAATGAGACCTCTGCTTCTGAAGGGTTTCTTAAGCTGACCAAGTACCTGGTTTGCTCTTGCAGCTGCTGTTTCAACTTGATGCTTGACTTTTAAGTCTTCTGAAATAAGAATACCTAGATCTTGTTTAACTGAAGTCGTATCCAGTTCTTGTATTATTCGCATCTGATCTGCCATTGTGTAGATGTAGACTGATTCATTGAAGCGACCTATGTGCATGAATTTGCATTTGCCCAAGTTAAATAGTAATAGCAACTTTTTGGACCATTCTACAGAGTTATCAATATCTAGCTGGAGATGTGCCTTGTCCTCCTGTTTTGATTATATCTAGTATTTTGTTGTTGGCATATATCTTGATGTATGCGATATGTGTGAGGATGAAGAGCAACGGTCCTAGCACTGATCCCTGAGTAACTCCACTGGTTACCTCTTTCCACTCAGATTCAGCTTTGCAAACAACAACCCTTTGCTTTTGGTTAGCCAGCCAATTTGATATTCATCTGAACAATGAGCCGCATAAACCATAAGCTTTTAGTTTATGCAGAAGTCTTTTTGTGCGGAACTTTATTGAAAGCTTTCTCAAAATCAGTGTATATCACGTCTATGGCATAGCCATGATGTACTGCATCTGTCAGAATGTTGTGAGATTCTAGTAGATTAGACACACATCCTTGCTTAGGTAAAAAACAGTGTTGAGCTTCTGTGAATAGACCATTGTTATAGCAGTGCTTCATGATTCGCTCATAAATGAAGCTCTCCATTATCTTGCATGGTACTGATGTTAGTGATATCGGTCTGTAGTTTGAGTTCTTCCTTCTGCTACCGGTCTTGGAGATGTTATATTTGACAGTCTCTATAGATTGGATACTTTGCCTTCAGAGAGGGACTTAGATCATTGCTAATGGTACAGAGATTGCAGCAGCGCAATTGCAAAATACAAGAGGGTGCATTCCGTCATACCCTTTAGATTTTGTTTCAATTAGTTTTTCAAGGTTTTGCTGTACAGCTGCATGCGTGATTGTAGCTTCATTTAAGTTGTACTTTGCTTGGGTTCGATCTCTAAAGTTTGGCATTTGATCTAGAGGCTCAACAATAAATGCAGACTGAAAATAATTATTAAATAAATGTGAAATTTCTTGCATTCTTAAAATTATTTTTCCTGCATCATTTTCAAGGGATTTTACTATTTCATTTTGCTTGGTTATAAAGTTGTTTTGGGTCATAGTTGAAATGTGCAGCAACCTTCCTCTCATAGTCAACTGTTGCTGATTTTATTATCTTGCTGAGTCTTTTACATGCTGCTTTGTGCTCCTTATGAATTTCCTCAATTTCACACAATGGCGCAAATATTTAGCAGCCAGTAGTTAGACTACTACCTGCTAAGTATTTGTGCCATAGTGCTATCTTCTCTCAGCTACTTCAATTTCAGGGGTGTTCCATGGTTCTTTTTTACTCTTGAAAGGTAACATAGTTGCAGGTATGTGGATTTTGATTGCTTCATTAACTTTTTTTATTAGTAATTTGTAGTTGCCATTAGCTGAAAAAGAATTAAAGATACTTATCCAATTAATGGCTATTATTTGTGCTGAGAAATTATTGTATATATGGCATCGTATTTTGCTCAGGTCCATATATACCTCTTTTCGTTGTTGTTTGTCATTCTGTCTTTGCTTGTTACAAATGAACCAATGATAAAGCAATGTGATTCACCTGTTGGTGAGTGACCTAGTGAGTTGCCTTTACGTAGATCAATAATTCGGTCTGATTTGTTCATGATAAGTAAGTCAAGTGTGCTTCTAGGCTCTTCTTCTCTATTTCTTCTATAGGTATGTTACACAAATTTATATATATATATATATATATATATATATATATATATATATATATATATATATATATATATATATATATATATATATATATATATATATATATATATTATTTTATATGCATATGAAGAAACACACAACAGTTACTTGCAAAGAGGTCAGTATAATAAACAATATCTTTTTAAAAAAGTTTCTACTACTCTTAAATCAATATTTTTTGATATCATAAGTCTTATCCAAGGAATATGACCTGTTCATAACATCAGCTTAGACTGATTCTCCTGTTTTCATCCCAAAACTCTTATTTATTTTTCTTATAAAAAATTTATTTTTATGCAGAAAGGCTAAAAAGTAATTTGTAAAATATTAATTCTTACAACTGGTTTAATTTTATATTAAAGTTCAGTTTTCCTTAAAACTTTATTAATTTTCAGAATTTAGATCAAAAATTTTGAAACTCTTTTTATGAACTTTTTGTTTAGTCAAAAAAAAGATGACACTATTGGTACCAATATGTATTAAAAGCATAGTATTAAAATGTAGCAACAGTTCGCATACCAGATCAAATTATGGGTACGTCTCTACTAAAATGTATTTTTTAAATTTTAATTCACTCCCAACAATGCTGCAAGCAACCACTCACTGTTCTCCAAACTGACCACCAGGTTGAAACTTTCCCCACTCCAATTTTTTTTGAATTAAATCAATCATATGCAATAATAAACACAATTTATGTTACCAAAAAAATCTGAACTAGGTGCTAAGTATGTAAATTTTGAAAAATAAAATGTCATTTTTTGCTTTTTTTCTTCAAAAGTTTAAATAAAGTCAGCCATCATCGTATTCAAAATAATTTATTTACGGATTATTTCCAGATATAATTAATAATCTCCAACATGGCGGCAGAATTTAAAATGTGTACTTGTGCAGTTTGCTTGAAAAACAAAGGTATCAGATGAAAATGCTTAACGGCCATATCACCCTCAATATGTCAAAAAATTCAAGAATACATTTGGC